CTTCCGATCCTTGAAAATGGTATAGCATTATTTTTTATTTTGATTCTGCTGGATTTCTCTCCACAGTGTTTTGAATTATCAGTCTATAAGCCTTTTCTTATTAAACATTTTTTTCTAAATATTTGCTTTTTTTGTTTGTTTGTTTTTGGAGAGTTTTTTACCATAGGGCGTGTGCGCTCACCAGACAGAGAGACAGAAAGCGAGAAATCATCCCCCCAGGGGGGCTGCTCAAGCCGCAATCCCTTCTCCTCCATTCTCCTCTTGGGATCTTGTGCATGCACGCACACGTGCCCAATGTGAGTTTAAGCCACAGGGTCCAGGACTTGAACCGCGGTCTACTACATGAGAGTTCAGCAACATAGCCATTATGCTAACTGCTGGTCCCAATATGTGCTTTTTAAAAAATTTTTAATTTTTTAAAAATTTTATTCATTCATTTATTTTTTAGTTTGATCAGAGAAAGACAGAGGGCGAGAGTGAGAGAGAGAGGAAGCGAGAAAGCAAGCCACCAGATTCAGGACTCGAACCCTGGTCGGCCATGAGGGAGTATCCAGCGCCTTAACCACCACACCACCTGCTGGTCCCCCCAATAAGTGCTTTTTTGATCCATTAAAATGTTATATTTTTGCCAGTAGGTGGCATGGTGGTTAAGGCAATGGATTTCCTCGTCTCTGACTATGGTTTGAATCCTGGATCTGATGGTTTGAAAATTACAGTGCGTGTGTGTTCATGCATGCCCAAAATCCCAAGAGGAGAGTGGATGAAGAGGGATTGAGGTGTGGCCACCCCCATGGGAGAACGATTTTTAACTTTCTATTTCTGTCTCTCTCCAGCAAGCACGTGTGCCCAATGGCAATAACCTTAACAACAACAAAAGTTCTATTTTAAAAATTTCACTTTTCAATTGCTGGTACTATTAAAAAATACAAATTATTTTTATATGTGGAACTTTTATTCTGTGACTTTGCTAAATTCATGTAGAAAACTGTTATTTGCAAATACAGTTTGCCTTTTTTTTTTTTTGAGAAATTTTTGCTATAGTGCAGCTGTGCTCTCTGGAGAAATAGAGACAGACAGAAAGAAAGAAATCATCTCTTGGGGTGATGGACATGCTCGAGTCCCTTCTCTTTTCCCCTCTGGGGATTTTGGGCATGTACTCACATGTGCCCAGCTTGAGTTTTGGTCTGAGTTCCAGACCATGGTTGACCAAGTGTAAGTCCAGCGCCTTAACCGCCATGCCACCTACTGGCCCTGCTGTTGCTTTTCTAATCTGTATGTCTATTGTAAGTATTATTGTTATTATTGCCTTATTGCACTAGAGGGAACCTCCAGTACAATACTTAATGGAAATGACAAGAATAGTAATATTTCTCTTCTTCCCAATTTTAGGGAGAAAGCATTGAGTTTGCTCAATGTTTATATTACAGATGTTGAGTGTTCATAAATGTGGACATAAAATAATGAATGGGGGACTTGTCTTCAGAAAATTCAAGTCAAATGAATTAAAGTATCGATTTATTTTGGTTCAATAAAATTGAAATCCATGTATAGTTTTCTCAAAATACTAATTTCCTGTGAACATTTGGCCACTCTTTGTGTAATGCCCTATTCATTGTCATTAAAGTGAACCAAAGTGTTATTTAGATTTTTGGATGCAAACTCACTGTATCAAGAAAATACATTGGTGGGACCAGCAGTTAGCATAATGGCTATGTCGCTGAACTCCCATGTAGTTGACCACGATTCAATTCCTGGACCCAGTGGCTTAAACTCACGCCAGGTGCATGTGTGTGTGTGCCCTAGATCCCCAGAGGAGAATGGAGGAGGAGGGATTGTGCCATGGTCATCCGCCATGGGGTGATTTCTCACTTTCTGTCTCTCTGTCTCTCTGGCGAGCACACACGCCTTATAGCAAAACCTCTCTCCCTCCAAAAAAATTGGTACTACTATGTCAGTGCAAGTTAGACATAAATTTAAGAAAAAAAGAAAGTGTGGTGTTAGTGAGAAAGCCCCTCACCATGGGATGTTCTCATGCTGCAATCCCTTCTCTTTCTCCCTCCTGTCAAGATTTTGGTTGCACACACAGGTGCCCTGCACATTTCTGAAGATATTGGACATGGAACTCAAACCACAGCTAGCTATATGAGATCCTGCTGTCTTACCTCCCAGGCCACAAACTGGTTACATATTTTAAGTGATGTTGGAATAGAAGAACATTATTATTATTTTTTACTGTCTTTAACATTTCCATTTTCAATTTTACTTTATAATTTCTTATGCACTTGAGATTTTGCTATTGAATAATGAACTTATTATTGAATTAATAAATTACTTTGATATCAGTGTGAGTAAAAATAACCTGTCTTTTCAGAGCTAATTTGTTTTACATTATTGGGGACATTTTCTTGAGCAAACATTATAGCAAATTATTAAAAACAGTAGAAATGGAAACATACATCTGACAAATCAACTAATTTGTTTTTGAACACGTGCATTTCCTTTCCTTGACCTAGGATCTATAACCCATAATTTAAATTGATGTAATTCAGGAGTTTAAGGTTAGTTCTGTATCCTCTTTATTTCTCATTTTGGATATGTGTGTATGTATATATACACATACATATATGTACATATATATATGGGTATGTGTCTGTATTTATATACACATACATATATATGGATATGTGTGTATATGTATATATACACTCATACATATATGTATTATATATATACGTGTATGTATATATATATATATATATACACACACACACATATACATATACGTATATAGACACCTTCTCAGTAGCCCTCTCAGCTTCTAATCTCAGAGTAAAAGCCCAAGTACTTCTGATAGCCTGTAAAGCTTAAAGCTTATACTTTTTTTTCTCTCTCTTTCTTTCTTTCTTTCTGTCTTTTTTTAAGATGTCTGTATCTCCTTCACATGTATATTTAAGTACTCCAGTTTATGGCCTTCTAATTTTCCATGAGGTTGCCTTTGACTATCCTATTTAAAATTGTGTGCTTTGCTCTTTGATACTCATTTCTGTTTCGTGTTTTTATTTTTCTGTATAGCACTTATTATTTGCAATACAGTATATTTTAATTATTTCATTGATTGCCTGCTTTGCTCAAGAGGAGCTACATAAAGCTGCTTGTGGGTAGGAATTTTCATCTCTGTTTACTGCTGTATTCTTAGCATTTTGTATCTAGAATTTAGTAGTTTTTTTCCTTTTGTAAAAATTTTCTTTTTTTTTCAGTTTTCAAATTAGTATTCATACATTAAATTGCTATACATCATTTAGATTGTGAAGAGACTTTACGCAGCATGATATACACCTCAGTTTGAATTTAGTAGTTTTGATTTTTATATGTACCTAAGATATATTACTATATTTTAAGGTATTTTTCTATGTTATATACTTTGTTGTTCTCCATGACCTTTTGCATTTGAAAAGGCAGCTGTTTTAACTTGCAAAGCCTTTGATGTCTTATTAGTATCTATGTAGATACCATGGATTTTGAATTTATAGATATATGGATTAGAGTAAGGAAATCATCCACCCTCAAATATGTTTATCATAGTAGTTGTATGCAGGTATTGATGGAAAAGGTGGGATTCATTTGTTATTATTTTTTGGAATCTTAAACATTGTTTTTGGACTTATTTTACAGGGAAGTCTTAAGAGTAACCGACAGATCTCACCTCAGGAATTTATCTATGAACTGAAAATGGGGTGTGCAGATGAGAGACTTGTCACATGCCTGGAGTCCCTTCGTGTTTCTTTGACCAGTAATCCTGTGAGGTAATTCTTCTATCTATACTTTATCAGGGCATGTTACTATATTAAATAGTGGTCATTAATCAGTCATTTTTTTCATATTTTTTTCATGAGGTCTTCAAATAAATAACTCTTCTTAATAATTTCCTAAGGTAAAAATCAAATTCATATTATTTATGTGCATGATAAAATAGTGTTTCAGTAGTACCTTTTTTGGGCCAGGCAATGGTGCAGTGGAAATGCAACAGGAGCTGCATGGGAAAGGTGCTTTAATGTCCTGCATATTCTGGGCATGTGTTTGCATGTCTGTGATCCATGTGAGCTAAGATAGGGTGATTTTTGGTATGAGGGCCTGTTGGGGGTACTCTTCTCACTCTGTCTCTTTAATGGAAAAAAAAATCTATATATTTTTTCTTTTATTAAATAACTACCTTTACTGAATATAGCTTGTAGACTTTTTTTTTTCTAAACCTATTTTTTGTTTGTTTGTTTGTTTGTTGTTTTTTAGGTCCTTTTGTAGAATTTTAAGTAATCTAAGTTTAAGGGAAAAAAAGTTTATTTCTTCCATGAGTGAGAGGAACAAAGGGAAAGCACTCCCTATAGGATCCTGACATTAACGTTCATTACCAATCTCAGAAAGCCTTCAGATCAAAGGGACACATGTTCCCAGTGTACTTAAGAAGGCATCAAGAGTGAAATTTGAACATTTTCATGTGGGTTACCCTCTCAGATTGCTGCATTTTACTACTGTCCTGCTGTTGGGCCCCAGAATTTTAAGAAAGTTAAAGTGTTTTTTTTTTCTCCTCTCCTCCATTTCTCTATCCTGTCAGATTTTAGGCATACATGCATGTGTACCTGGCATGTCTTTTAAGCTACTGGGCCATGGTTTAAGTTGCATAGTTGACCTTATGGGATCTGGCTCCCTTAACCACCAGGCCAGGGGACTAGCCCATAAATTATTATTTTAATATGGCCAAGTTTAAATTTTGATGTTGTGTACATACTTCCTAATTCTTATTTGATACAGCAAGAAGTATCACTAATTAATTTTTTTTCTCTTTTTGGAAATGGTGTCTTTGTATTGTCCATAGGTTAGTGTTGCTGTATTTAGCAAGTAAAAATACAGGACACTCAGAAAAATTTGAATTTCAAATATACTTGGCTTGAAAAAAAATGTATTGTTTATATGAAATCCAAATTTAACAAAGTATTCTGTGTCTGGCAATACTACCCTAGGTATTTCTATAAATCTATTTTTAGACTTTGGAATGGGGCCAAATTTTGGTGTCTCAGAAAGAACTGCATAAAATTGAAAAAATCAGTGTATACATATTTTGATAAACTGAGCATATTTAAATTTGTTAATTTATTGTGTTATAGGAGACAGAGCTGTGTAAAAAATTCAAACAAATGTACCAAAAGTTTGTCATGTTTGTTAATTATGGCATGTGAAAGGAGAAATTTCAACCTACTGACAGGCTATATGTTAACCTGAATTAGGTAACTCGGTCATAGTGTTCTTAAAGAAGTTTAAGCAAAGTTGTTATGAAATCTCTGAGCAGTTGGATTCAATTTTAGAGCTGCAAGGATAAAGGTAGATCAGTTTTAGCTCATCCTTATATAAGAAAATAGTGGTTATTTGTACATAAGAATATACATTTATATGTGTATATGTGTGTGTGTGTGTGTATGCATTCACATATGTTCTGCTAGAATCAAACTGTCCTGTGCTGACAAATATTGAAGACTAGAATGACATTCTATAATTGGAGGTTAATGAAATGGAAAAGAATTTCTTTGATACTCTCTCTGATTAGTACATTTTGGACATTCTGAAGGTTGGATATAGTATGAAAAATTCCTTGACTATGTAAGTATTTAAAACAAAAAGACCCTACATTCAGAGACATGAGAGAGTGAATAGAGTTTAAGTAGTTTAAAGAGTAAACAAATACTCTTTATAATATTTCAGTCTTTTCTGTATTTTTCCACAGATTTTTGTTTGTTTTGTTTACAACTTTTAGTCTGGCTTTAGACTATAATCTAAAGGTGTCCATGAACCTCGATGCTTTGTGTGTATTATTTACCTCTTTACCAGCTAGGGTTTAGGACATAGGAAATGCTTAACGATGATTTGTTGATTGAAACAATGGGCATTTAACTTTAACCTTCTTCAGTATTACCTTGGCTATTATTAAAAACAGACTGAATTAGAGAATTTTTTTTTAAAGGTACATTCATAGATGAAAAGTGTCAGTTTTCAACTTAGTTCGTACTCGTAAAATGTGTTTCATCAAAAAATATTCAGTGATAACCCTTTGTTTTCCAAACATTATCTTAAGTGTGGGATTTGACTAAACAAAACAGATCTAAGAGTGTATTTTGGGGTTCATTGGGGAGACAGCTCACACATTTCTCAGTTTGTCTGTTAGTCACCAGGGACGGGAAATATATATACGTTTTCAATATAATTAGAAGTAGACTCCTTCCGTCCTATTACCATACCACTGCTGCGGCTACTCCTCCTCCCCACCCACTTCTCCTTCCTCCATCTGCATCTACATAGTAGATGACTGGTTATAAAGAAAACAATATTGCAGGATTTTATGTATGAATTTGTGCCTATTACAAAGCATAGGAGTATTCATTGTGACATCCCAAAACATTGGGAAATTATGCTATGTGTGTCTTGTATTTGAACTTAATTTAAAAACCAAACAAAAAACTTGTGGAATTATTTCTCTAAGAATGGGCACTTCTAGAATATGTTATCAGGAATCCATGATGTTTTCCACAAAGTAGTCCTTTTAATTAAAAAAAAAAAAACCTGTAAAATCTTATTGCAGAAAATTTTCTGAAATTGTGCCATTTATGTAGAGTGAAAATTGAGAAGATACTTGAGAATATTTCCTTGTCACTGTTTGAACTGGCAGGAGCAATTTAGCTGGTCATGTAAAACTTGGACATTATACTGTGATCAAACTTTGGGCTTTCCTGTTATGATGTGCTTGTTTAGTTTTTCATACTTTCTTGCTTATGTAGAATATGGGACTTAATTCTTACGAAGAATTCTAAGTTTTATAAGCTTTTGAGGTTACTATTAGATCTCTGATGATGATGAGAAAATTAGAGATAAAGTTTTTAAAAATTCTGTGAATAGAATTAAAAAATAAGTGGACTGACTAATCATAGTTTCCCAGTGTTGCTTTAGGATCTGGATTTATTTAATTAAAAAATTAGAGGAAAAGAAGACATGCATTTCCACCTTCTCCTCCTCAGTTAACTCTCTCCTCCCTCTTCAGGATGTGTAATTTTCTTAGAGTTATTCATCAACTTCTGAAACTCTGCCTAGCAATTATGTGCCATGCCAGCCTTTCACTATCCAGATACTGAATTATGTGAAAACAGTGCGTTAAATACTAGATTATTTGCCGTGTGTTACAAAGATTTGATGTAAAGATCACAAAGTTCTTTTGTTTGATGAGGTTTATTGATTATCCAATATTCTTGGTGACAGTTTTGAGTTAGATTTGAATGCTAAGGAAAAGACCAACTTCTTCAAATTGTCAAATATAACTTAGTAGATCTTGACAGTCAATAATTATGTTTGAGTTATTGAGTACATTTGGGTAGAAACATAAAAAGGTAGACACTAACATCATTATGATTGATATCAAGCATTTATAGTTCATACCTGTTTATGCATATAGCAAATTAGTTTGAGAATATATCTTCATTTTCTCAATTTGATGAGCCTGTCAGGGACAAGATTTCTGTGTTAGAAAATCTATTCTTACAAGGTCTTTGTACTTTGTGGTTTTTAGATATTCTCTTATCTTTTTGATTTCTGAGTTTTTTTTAAATTTTTTTTTTAATTTTTTAATTTCTTCTGAGAGAGACAGAGAAAGAAAGGTACCTATAACAGGGTCTCCCACAGGCATGCACAGATGTGCCTGGTGGGCTCAGGGAGTCCTGGGACAAGAACCCAGGAACTTTTCATTGAGAGTCCAGTTGTAATACAACTGGCCCTTATTTTCGTCATCTTCCTTTTTTTGCTACAGGACGCACACACTAGCCAAAAAGATACAGAGAGACAGCAAGCATGAGAGAGAGAGCGAGCATAGGCGAGATGGCGGGCTTGCCAACAAATGGAACCTGGTCACACTGCAATCCCCTTTCATCTATTCCTCCTTTCCTTCAAGATGCAAGGCATCCTAAGCATATAGGTGGCATGTTTTTCAAGTTCTAACTGTGGCTGGCTGTATGGAACATGGCTCCCTCCACACAGTTATTAACCACTGTGCTAGGGTGCCAACCCTTTATTTTCTTTTAATCACTGTTAAAGTTTGGATTTTTGAAGTTTACAAGAAACATTTTTCTCACTGAACTCATTTTTATTTTAGAAGTTTTATCTTTTTTTTGTGTGTGTAATTATTTACTATAAAGCATATGTACTCACCAGAGACAGAGAGAGAGATAAAGGGGGAAGTGAGAAAGCATCCCCCAGCTGGATGGCCATGCTGCAGTCCCCGCTCCTCTGTCTTGCCCTTGGTGCTTTGAGTATGCACGCACACACACCCAGCCTGTCCCTCAAGATGCTAGGTCTTGACTCGAATGGTACACCTGGCCATATGGGATCCAGTCATCTTGACTACTGGCCATCTGCAGTGGTAGAAGATTTCTAAGGAGACTGTGAGACTAAGATTGATTATATTGATAACTATAATTTCTTGAAATAATTTTGGAAAATTATGTAAAATATCTGTTTACACTCAAACAAGTGAGCAGACTTTAAATAATATTTCATTTCATAACTAGTGTCATTTTTGGACTCTAGTTTCACATTTTTGGGATTGAAAACACAAAGCAGGTGGAAGAGCTTTACTGTGGAGTTGATCTGTTTTTGTGCCATGTGTCACATGTGTGAAAATAGAAATTGAAAAGCTGTAGTAAATGATGAAATTGAGCTCATTGCTATCGATGTGATCTGAAGAAAAAAATCTTTGAGACCAAAATTTTGAAGT